CGTGAGTTCGGTTTCCGGTACCGGAGAAAAACCAAAAAACCAAAAAAAAAAAAAAAAAAAAAGCATTAGATGGGACCCCACAGGATATCTTAGACATTTAATGTCACTGTCATTTGGGAAAAACATACATTCTGACTATTAAATTAAACTGATTTATAATATCTGGACTATGTTATTCCACTTGTTGAATTTCTTTCAGGTGCAACATAGCCAAGATTCTGTTCGGAGTTTCAACATTTAAGGGGAAAACATTGAGACTGTGAATGAGGCATGAGATTGATGCTGTATTACTTTTTTTTATTTTGAAAATAAGAGAAGGAAAACATTAACAAACAGACAACCATTGACAAAATAATAAAGAACAATATAAACAATACAGAGTTACAAACAAAGTGGTAGGAAATGAACAATGCTTGTTGTGTTACATATTTATAGCTTCAAAGAAGTTTTTCAGGAAAGAAATAGAGACATGCAGTATTGATCAATGAAGGAATCATTAACTGTTTCTTTCAGCAAAGAAATAGAAGACATAGTTCAACTATGTTAACTATTCCGTACATACAGACATACAAAATTTCTCCTGCTTTCCCTTCTCTTTTCCCACATCTCAGTTGCCTTTTACCCTTGAGCATTATCCTATCATTTCACAATGTCTATCATACCTCCTAGTTTTTATTCACTCTTTTAGGTTTTACACTAGTGAGACAATGTGGTGCTTGCACATGAAGGTCTGACTTGTTTCACTTATGAGTATAGTCTCTAGCTGTGACCATTTGCCTATAAAAGCCTCAACTTTACTTTATTTAAACTGAGTAATACTCCATGATATAAAAGTACCACAATTTTTTTATCCAATCCTCAGTAGATGGACATTTGGGTTCCCTGCACAGTTCATCAATTAAAAATTGCGCTGCCATGAACAAAGGTGCACATATATCGCTGTGATAAGATGCTTTCAGATCTTCTGGGAAAATACTCAGAAGGGGAATAGCTGGGTTGAATGGGACCTCTACACCTCCTTTGCTGAGGACTCTCCAAATTGATTTCCACACTGCTTTCACCAGTCTGCATTCCCACCAAGAGTGCAGAAGAGTTCCTATTTCTCCACAGCTTCACCAGCATTTCTTATTGGTTAAATTCTTATTACTAGCCATGCTTACGGGGGTGAGATAAAAATCTCAGTGTTGTTTCAATTTGCATTTCTCAAATGACTAATGAATGTTGAACATTTTCTCATGTATTTATT